TTGGTACACTGGATTGTTTAATATAAATATTATATTTTGAAACTCGCTCTAAATTCTAAATAGATTTAAATTTATATACTATAATTATAGGTCAGGTTCGGGTTTAATAAAACTCACCTCAAATTCTGACCTAATCTATTGTTATCTCTATGCTCCGATATTATTTTAAATAATTAATTAAATAAACTATCTAAAATATTTAAGTTAAGATATATATCCAAATTTATTTTATGACTATATGGACAGTACATTTTTGCACGAAAATCTAATCTTTCATGAAAAATGAAACATCTTGCGGTGGACTACCTACCGCTTCATTAGAGAAAAGAAGGTCTAAGAGCAAGACAACCATCGGCACAGCAAATCTCTATTATCAATCATACTACACATGTTTATATCACTATTTGACAATAACAACTGTCTAAACCCTGTAGCATATTGGCGCAGAGTGCATAGAACTTCTCCCTTAATGCTGCTATGTATGATTAACTTATCGATCACACATACATATATATGATGTATGTATACACCTATAATATCTGTGAGAATAACATGTACATATACACCTAGTACAGAAATCATCAATTTCACGACTCTATATATTTATTGTGCGTGCGTTGTAGAGTAGTGATTAGAGAAAGTGGAAGAGATGGAGGAGTATAGTACCACGGAAATGTCAAGTTCATCATATTATACAGCTTGGCATCTGAGTTAGATCACCAGCTGTGACGAAATTAAAAAGAAAATAAAAGCAAGTGTCAACAGTCAAAGAATGGTGGTGTGGATAAATCAAAACATTTGACAAATAATCTTTTTTATATCCGCGTGAGTTCTTTTTTGATAATGTGAAGCCGAAGTAGTCCCCCATCGAGATATATAATAAATATATACATATATATATATATAAGCAGCGCGGTGCATTCCCAACTAAACCAATGAGTGAATAAACCCTTGAAAGGAACCCTTATCTTAAGAGCCTAATTTAGCATGAAGTTGACAGTTCAAAAGTCCCTACAAACCTTGCATGGAAAATGCTAATTGATTCCTCCGTCTGCTTCACGCTATATATACATATATATATATATATATGTATATATATACATATACGTCCTAAAAATTAGGTCATAATTGAAAACGTGGACTGATTCAATCACTAGATCACTAATAGGTTACTTTCTCTGAACCTGCCATCTAACAGTCACTTCAATTACATTTTCATTGGTGGAAATTAATATGACGCATGTGATAATACAGAAAGTTATCTTTTTCATCATTGTGTGTATATATACATATATGTATATATATAATTAGCTTTTCCCGTTCAACAAAGCTTGAGATCCACATGCACTATTCATTGCCCTCCACACTAATTTGCTTCCACATTTTTTTCTTAAAGAAATTTGTCTGCACATTTTATAAGCATGATTGCATGCCTCTCTCTCTCTCTCTCTCTCTCTATATATATATATATATATACACACACACGTACTTATGTTGCCTTTAATTGATTATGTGGTTTTTTTATTTTTCGAGAATAATTAATTCATTACGTGTTTGTGGTTATAATATATTGAAAAGCCTTCTATTTATTTTTTTCTTCTTCTTTCCGTTAAATAATAAACTTAATTAATTATTTTCAAATTTTAATAATATAAAATGTTGCAATCAATTATTTATATTTTAATAATATTCTTTATTACTCCTTAATTTGTTAAATCATTTAGCATGAATTTTTTATATTTATAAAATTTAATCGTAGGTTTAATAGAGCTAGAATTTAAGGTTTATTTTCTTTTACGATTTAATAAGTTTAATTTAAAGTTTTCATAAATACGCAGATGATACTACAAAATGAAAGAAATATTATAATATGTACATGGACATTTATAAATAAATTCTAGGTACTATTTCTCCCTCTCTCTCTCTCTCTCTCTTTATCTATACGTATATATATATATATATATATATATATATATGTTTTTTGCAAAATTTCAGTTTGTTCAATAATATATTAATGCAATTAAATTTATAATTCATTGGGATAATTATAATTTGATACAAAAAAGTTTATAGCTATGCCAAGCACAATTATAGTAATTAGAATAGAGACCCATAAACATATTTTGTAATGTATACTTTTAAACAAATTATAAAATGCAAAAAAAAAAAAAAAAAAAAAAAACTTGACCTGAAAAAAAAAATTGCATTGGAAATACTGGGTTGTGGTTATACAATTTGTTTAGTAGTAATACTACTATTGTAAGAACGATAATATTAGAATATGTCATAAATATATATAATATGTATAGATTTAAAATTTAGTCTCTTTTCTGAATTTCTGTAGGCCTTCCCACTTAACTTAAGTGGGCCTTAATGGACTAAACTGAACGTACCAGCCCAATGTTTTCAATTGGGGAGACCCAGAAGAAACAATTAATGTTTATATTGATCTTGAATTTTCTTTTTAAACAGTGATAAAAAAATAAAATTAATAGATGGTTTTTTTTTATTGAACTTGGAACTTAATTAACCTCTTCTTTTTCCCAATCTCAATAAGCAATATATATTTTTATATTAATTATTATTGAACTTTAACCTTTTATTTTAAAAGTAAATTACTATTTATTTTTTAAAATTAAAAAAAAAAAAGTGTAAATCATTTAGAAGGAAGTGGAAAACCAATTTGATGGGTTAATGGGCTTGCTTGGATTTGGGTTTAACACTTTATATTTTTTTTATTTGAATTATAAATCAAATCAGATTTATTTACTTTATTAAAAATATAAAAGGAAGAGATTGATATATTTTAAGTTAAAAAAATAAAAAAAAAATTCTTAAATAGGAAATAGTTATATTTTAATAATATTTAGTAAAAAAATAATAATTATTATTATTGGATGCCATCATCAATTTCAATTGCATTATAGGTTTTAGGAGTAGTCAAAAGTTGTGAGAAAAATAGAAAGAGAGGAAAAGTCACCGACACCCGCAACTTGCAATTATCAACCGACATTATATTATATAATTTATATTAATATATTTAATAGTACCTGTCAAGAAAAGAAATTTGGTTATTTCCTTAATTTGTTTAAATGGGTAGGTACGTTTCCAACTTATAAATGGGAAATGGAGGCCCTGTCCTTTCATGTGTGACATTTCTTGTATGTTACAATATTATATATTATATACGTGTTCATATATATTATATAATATGTATATATATGAAACATGGACCTTTTTTCCCCTTAAATATGGAGGTACATGAGAAATAACATACAAAATACATATAAGCATTTTAAAAAACTCATTTCGCATAGTAACACTTGATATATCAAGTAAGATCTCAAAAGACAACATAAAATATACATATATACAAATATTTTAATAAATTTATTTCGTAAATTGACATTTAATATATCATGTAGAATTTTAAAAATAAAATAAATTGAGACGAATATTTTAATAAATTGTTAATGTTTTGAATTCATAATCTTTATATAAAATTACAGAACATCAAGATATGATAATATTTGTATTGAATGATAAGAGATTGTAAATATCTCAACTCCTCTTTTAATATATGTCTCATTTAAAACTTTTTAAAAAACTCAAATAGTCTCAATCTCTTATGACTCATTTTCAAAAAGATGTAATCTCAACATACACGAATAAACTAATGTTGAGATTATCAAACTTGCTTAAGTGATGAAACAAATCCCCTGACATATGACTTTTAGAAGACTTTGCTTCCCTAACACTGTACCTATACTAGTACTAAGCCCAAGAAACAGTAAGATCTTCATAATGGATGAGGCACTTGGAATTAATTATCATCAATCATCTCTTTTGAAATTTGACAAACATTTACTCTTAATATTTGACATCTATGGAATAATTCTTAATATTAAAAATATTATAAAATTAAGTAATTAACTTCCAAAATAGAAGACATTCATAATCAATCTTATGTATCCAAAAATACATATTGAATTAAGCATTTAAAAACACAATATTGATGCCTCCCTCAGCATATGATTTGAACTTTAATTTTTAGGTATCTTTGTTCTGAAAATTTGTATGTGGTCCATTGCCAACTTATCACATTGTTTAGTTAACTAATATAATTTTATTAATATAGGTGTCATTGCTTAGCTTGATATTACCAAGAATTACTATGATGTTTTCCTTTCTCTTTTACATTTTTCCTTAGAAAAAAAAAAAAAAAAAAACAAAGACCAACATCTCATTTATTCATTTTATAATTAATTATAATTAATTTTTCTAAATTCAAGTATTGGTGGTTATAATTTTATAAAATATTATAAAAATTTAAAATTTAGATAGAGTTTAGAATAGATTAAATTGTACAAATTCAATTGAAAATTCACAATTAGTTTCATTATAAACAAAAATAAATTTTATTAGAATAATAATAAAAAAATTCACGTAAAAATAAAACAATATACTCCATATTATTTTAAAATTAATGAAATTTCAAATGATACCATATTAAATCGCGTACCAGGTAGCATTTTATGATTTCAAGAAAATTTTTTTATGATCGTTTAGTTAAAATATTAATAACCTTTCTTAACTCCTTGTTTAGTTAAACTCAATTTAAAAAATGAATTAATATATTAAAATTATATAGATTTTATATCATTACATAATAAAAAATAAGAATTAAGTGGATAAAGAAACTACCACTTCAAAAATAATTTGTAATTTGATAGTGATGAGATGGGTGAATTAGAAATTAGAGTGACAGGGAATAGTTAAATTAATAATTCATCAATTACTCGTCTTTAAAAGAATAATATATTCATTAATTAGTTGTAAATTAAGTTTCTTAGTACATTCAAAATAGTTAGTAATGACTACCGCTGTAATTTTACCCCACGTCAGAGAAAGAACATATAATATAGATCTTAAAAATGAAGGTCAAATTCACATTTATTGACAGCAAAAACAGAGTGTACATTGACGTTAACGACCTCGATGTAACACTGTTTAACACTATCCAACTTTCCCTGCTCCCGCACTCTCTCTCCCCTCGTTACCCAAAATTAGAAAAGGAGGAGAAGCCAGCTCTGAGATCCAATATTGCCCTCTCTTTTTCTTGTGTTTCTACATATAAAGAACAGGGCATCTCTGCTTAGATCTCCATTACAATTAGGTTTCTTTGCTTAGGTACCTACCCTTTTTTGTTACTTGCCTGTTACCCCGTAAGCTCATTGTTTTTTTACCGTTTCTTGTTATTGTCTGATTTTTTTTTTCGGGTTTTGCTTCAAGTTTCGATTCGTTGCTGGATCTGATAGAAGTTCGATT